GTGTCCCATCCTGCTGTGCAGGGACAGGACACTAACAGGAGACAGGAGGGGAGGGAAACACTGTCACAAGTGATGGTCTCCACGGAGCATGAGCGATGCTGTGAATCACATTCATTCACACTTTCATGCCAGGCCTGCCTATGTGAGTCTCCCTAAACTGTCCATTTCTGGAACCTACGACCTGAAGGAGGTCCTGCGCGACTTGGGCATCACCAATGTCTTCAGTGGTGCTGCCGACCTCTCTGGGATCACAGAGGACATGCCCCTGAAAATCTCCAAGGTGAGGTCACATGATGGTGATGTCCTAGTATCTGAAGGGCAGAATGCGGTGTAGGACACAAGTTGACAGGAGAATGAGGAAGGGAATCCAGGACACCCACCAGGTCCAGCTCCTCTGCAGGAAACAGGATTCACTGGGACAAATCAGGGTAAGGCAAGAGAGCTGGGGAGGTGGCTTCTCGTGCTGCCGCATTCGTAGGGACCTCTGTTCAGGTGCCTTCCCAACCCTCAGTCTCCGTTTCTCTTAGGACCTTCAGGGTCCTGGGCCTCAAGTCACCCACATTCACATGGAGAGGCTTTGGCCTCCAGCAACGCACTGGGTGTTCTGGAATCTTCCATGTGTGAGATTGAGAGCTACCGGTGACCCAGCAGGTCTGTTTGAATGAGCTCAGCCAAAGGTGCCAGCGGTTCAGGGAAATCAAAGGTGACCAGGAACAGGCACAGAGCAGTGCGGGCTGTGTGCTCAAGAGGTCTAAGCAGGAGAGTCACCAGCAGAGTCCTTGTCCTTGAGCTCACTGCCACACACTGGAATGGGCAGCTGTGTGGAGAGGCACAGCCTCAATGCGACCTTCTCCTCCTGAGCAGGAGGGCTGTATTCAGGGTGTGACAGATGGTGGTTAGGACTAGAGCTGAGAGGTCAGCGGGCCAGGTCAGGCAAAGACAGAGACAGGGGAAAGGCTTCGGGTGACCCTTCGGGGACAGGGCTGCGGACAGGGCAGAACCGTCCAGGAGGAGAAGGACTCCTGTGAGGCCTTGCTGGGAAAAGGCTCCCCGCTGGGCCTTGGTGCAGCCTGAGTGGGGACAGCCCAGTCTCAGCGCCTGCCTCTGCCTCTCTCCCCTGCAGGGCTTGCACAAGGCATTGCTGACCATCGACGAGGAGGGGACAGAGGCTGCTGCGGCCACAGTGTTGGAAGCCACCCGCACAGCTCGGCCACCCCGCCTGTCCTTCAACAAGCCCTTCTTCTTTCTCATCATCGATCACTCCACCGACACGCCCCTCTTCGTGGGGAAGGTGATGGATCCCACAAAGAAGTAACTGCTCTTGGGCTTCACTCCCCAGGCAGCCCCATCTGCCTTCGCCCTGGTGATATTAAACAATACGAAGGCCTACCTGTGAATGGCCAGTCCTTCTCCCTGTGTCTCAGTCTCCCTTTACACCCTGAGGTTCTGAGAGGACCAGGTCATGGGGTGTCTTGGTGTCCTGCACCCACAGGTGTGAGGTTTTGTGCTGGGAAGGGTGACTGTGGCTGAGGCCGCACCCCACAGGCCCTGGGCCCCTCTGCCCCCAAATCTCCAGCCCTGCCTGGAAATCATGAGGGCGCCATGGAGCTCAGGTTCCAACCCAAGGCCCCAGGATCCAGCAAGTCTCCTCAGCATCCCTGAGGGAATCCACCAGCCTAGTGCACAACCCTCACCATCCACACGCTGGCGCCCCCTGCAGGCACAGTCACACCCGTGCTGCTGCCCCTTTTGCTGCTCCCAGAGCAGCTCTGTTTGCACAGGTGTCCTGCTGCTGCATCTCCAGCCCACATGTGGCGAGAATGTGCCCTCCCTGTCCCAGTGTTCTGTTCTACTGGGAAGCCCTTCCTCCCCCTGGGCTGTCCTGGCACCGACCTCACCTCTCCTCCCTCCTCCGCTACACCAGGAGCCTTGCCAGCCTCCTTGTGGAGCAGCGCCTTCTCCCCAGGAAGGGCTCTGGGTCCAGCCTCTGTCCCCTCTCAAAATCACCATGACCACCAGGCCCTGTGTGCCTTCTGCTCCCAGGATGTGTGGCCATGGTGCTGCAGGAGGTCGTGACCTGGACTCCTGGGCTGAAGGGCAGGAAGCACTTTCAATTCCCAGCCTCCCCATCCCATTTATTTATAAGGAAATTTATTAACTTACGGGGTCAATTTATTCTACGTATTTCTGCTATTTTGTTAATGCACAAGGAAAAAATCCACCAAAGGTTGAGCGCAGTTCCTGGAAACAGACCTTGATTGAAATTGAAATTTTACAAGTGTTTGGATGCAAACTCTATTGCTGGAAGAAATGCCAAGAAGTCAAAATAGAATTAATCATTGATTATCATGTAACTCTAGGTCAAAATTCAATAGCAAAACAGGAATCGTAAAAAGTGTGACTATGCCACTCCTGTGACTCCTCACACTGAAAAACACACATCAAAGGTTGGAACATTTGATTCCAGCCTAGACAACTTAGCAGGACCCTGACTAAAAAATGTTTTCTAACTTTTTAAATGGCTGAGGGTGGGGTGAGCTATACCCTTGTAGTAAGCCAACCACAAAACACAACAAAAACTAAAAGCAAAAGTGGCCAAGGATACCCAAGAAACAGAGGGTCTTTCCTATTAAACTACTGAACTATGGGATAAATGTTCCATGACACATAATTAAACAGAGACACATTTTCAGCTAGAAAGCTACAATGTGTCATGACAGTGAGAAAACCTACAAAATAACAAATTATAAAATAACTACAAATAATATAGCTGTATCTCACTGACAGATAATATATTCAAGGTAGTATGGGCAAGAGTTACTGAATGCTTTCATTGTAAGCTGTCTCAATCATTATGAAACTAGAAGCAAATAACCTACTGTCATCACTCCTTTGTGCCAAAATAAAGGAAAACGTGATCAAAATGGGATCTGCCCCGAATCTGAGGGGGAGATATAAGCAGTGGGAATAGAGGGACCCCGCAAGAGGACCGGACTCGGCAATGTCAGTCCACACCAAGAGGGACTGAACGCGAGGCCCAGGGCTCTGGTGGCCTTCCTGGCAGAAGATCTGATGAGCAGGGAAAAGAGCAGAGCACTGAGGAGTGGGGCTGGGTGGGAAGGGTGGATGAGGAGCAGGCGTTTCACATGCCAGGTATTGAAAACAGCACACCCGGCAAGCGCCACATAACAACACAGAAACAAACATTACATCTCTCAGCTTCCCTGTACACGTGCAGGGCCCGAATGAAAGTTTGTGGTAAGAAAAAGTGTGCACTGGACACAGAAAGAAGAAAGAGGACTTAGTAAAGATCCCTTTAAACTGCTGGGGTTATGCTCAGTAGTACTATGTCACTCTCAGAGGCCCCTGGGACTGATGTAATGACCCACCATAACCTGGGGAGCTGATCACAGGAATCTGTTTCTCAGTTCTGAGGGACAGGAAGTCCAAAGGAGCCAGCAGATCACCCGGTGATACCCCTTCCTGGTTCCCAGGGGAAGCTGCTCACTGTGCCCACAGAGTGGGGAGGGTTGCATGAGGGCACTGAGGAGCCAATCCCTCCCCAGGACGCTGCCTTCTCCCAGCTTCACACCCCAGATCAGGTGTCCACACAGGACTTTAGCAGGAAGAAAGGGCTCTGCACAGTCAGTCTAAGGGATGAGCTGTCACCCCACCACCCAGAAGTCAGGATAGTCTGTGTCTGCCTTTGCTCATCTAGGAATTCATCAGGGAATGCCAACATATAAAGGGTACCCAAGCATTTACTCTGGGGGCACCCATCTGTGAACTTCCTGTGCTGTGTCTGAAGGGGAAAGCAGTCACTAAAGGGGTTCTTTTCATACAAGGACACATATTCAACTGAGGAAGGATCACTGACACTAACAGGAAAATAAAGGGAATCTAAAAATATAATTCACCCTGAGTTTGGGTCCATCTGCTCAGAATGTAACATGCCTACTGACTTAAAGAGGATAAGAAAAAAGAAACATTCGGATTGGTCTCAGTGAAGAAAGGGGGGAAATGATTGAGGATGACAAGGTATGTCATGGTACACGCATGATTTCCTGGTTCAAATATTCACAAAGGAAAAAAAACTCTTCATTTAAAAAAAAACATAGCAAAACTATTGAACCATAGTGTAAGACATCATGCTAATCTTCAAAATCAAAAGAGAAGCAGCTAAGTTGTATTCACAGACAAACCAGGACTTGGTCCCCTCAGGGCTAAATGTTCCCGTGGGCGAGCCGCATCTCGAGCTCTAGCAGTCAGGGTCACCCAAGAGTGGCTTGTGTGAGCTGCGTGGCTGTCAAAGCAAAGGCCACAAGGTAGGCTTGGGTGGCTATTGGCAGAGGGGCTGCTGAGCCATTTAGCCCAGATGAAAGGGCAAACCCAGAAGCTGCCACAAGCATCTCCCTCAGGCCCAGCCTCAGGGCCAAGCGTCGATCAGCCTGGATGTCTGCTGCATTGCCAGTCTCCAAGGAACCCTGTCACCTGCTGCTTACAGCAGTGGGTGGGCTTCTGAGGGAGGGCTTTGGCTTGAATGGCATTCCTCCCTGGAGTTGGGCCATGGAATGGACCTCACATCTCTGACAGGACGAGGCAGGTCTCTCGCAGTGGCCACTTGGTTTTCACTGAACCAAGGGACCTGTGCTGGCCAAGGATACAAACTTGTGCTGCCTAGGCACCACGCTGAGCTCCTGGGAAAGCCAGTCAGCCCCATCACCTGCTGAGCCTTGCAGTCCAGCCAGAAGCAACAGTGGCACTGCCCGTTGTGTAGCAGTGAGGGCTGCTCGGGTGTCGGGCATCCTTAGTGCAGGAGCCAGGCCCCAGCCAGAGGCTCCTTCTTGATGAGGGACAGCTCAGAGGCTTTCCAGACCTCCGGTGGCAGGTGAAGCAAGGCCTAGAGGCCTCCAACAGCAGACACTGCAGTCAGTGTGCGCATGCGTGACTTCCCAGCCCTCAGGATCTCCCAGAACTCAGCGCATAACCGCCAACAGATCCCAGAGCAGGCTCTGAGCCACGAGGGAGGTTGAGGGGCTCCCTAGTCCTCAGAGCGCTGCGGATGGGCATTTGAAAGAGGTCCTGCAATACACAGACAGCCTGGAGAGCTCATCCTGAGGATTCATGGCAGGGAGGGGTAACCTTGGGCCAAGCCCCTGCTGGAGAAGCCAGGAAGTGAGCTGATGTCTTTGTGGGTTTCAGAGCATCCAGCGGCATGGCCAGATGAGCAGGCTGGGCGGGAAGGGCTGCAGACCACTCCTTCAATGGTTGGTCTTCCTAGCCAGGCCCTGGCAGCCCATGGTGATCGTCCAGCAAACGCTTCTGCTGCAGGAGCCTGTAGAGGAGGTCATGGGGGGCAACTACTGCTCTGGGACTCCTCTCCCCTCCTCCTTTCCTGCACCTCCTCCTCCTCCTCTCCCCATTGCTTTTGCTTCTCTTCCTCCCACTCTCATCTTCTTCCTCCATTTTTAGATTTCTAGCAACAGTAAAAATCTGCAGGAAAGCCTGAAGCACAGTTCCAGAAAGTATCAGTCACAGAAGGCAGAAATGTAAAGAAAGTCCCAAATCTGAACGGAAGGACATCCCTGTGTTCCAAACATGGTGAGTGGTGGGGGCTGCCCCTCAAGAGCAGGGACAGTAGCCTGGAATCCTGCCCTAGCAGGGTCCCTGCTAACACAGCGTTTAGGAATCCACAGAGCCACAGCTTCCATGGCTTGGTTGATAGGATGCGCTGCCTGACTCAAAAGAAAGCCAGGACTTTCTCAGTTTCTGAAATGTGAGTTCCAGGGTGGTCCAACCCTATAGAGCCCACTTACATGGAAGCTGGCACTCAGAGCTGCCAGGGAGCACCTCTGACCCCACAGAGCGCTGAGCACTGTGTGAGTCAGACTTGCTCTGTGCTCACTGTTGAGGCCCTGGGGTCCTCATGGATGGCTTTCTGGCTGGGCACCTGCATGACCAAAATGCAGGAGCAGTGTGCAGTTTAGCTCCGCACAAGGTCTCTGCCAAGTCATAGCCTTCAGGGGCCAACTGTGAGTGGGAGAGTCATCGTTCAGTGCAGGCTGAGGCTGTGTGGGTATTGGGGAGTCTGGAAGCCAAAATAGGGACTCAGAGCCTGTTTGGCAGTTATAGCGCCTGCTGGGAGGGCAGCCTGGCAGCAGAGAGATGCTGAGTAGTCTCTGCCCACACCCAAATCACAAAGAGGCACGAGGGCCCCTGTTCCTGCCAAAACCCCCTGTCTTCCCCTGTCTTGAAAGATTCGCATAAGGGCAGCCCCACGAACTCGAGGAGCAGAGGTGATGTGATTTAAGGTCACCCCATCACACCGAGTGGCCAGCACAGGAAGCCATGCAGGCAGCACTCACAGTCTGCAGCCAGCCGGAGCCCGGAGCTCTTCTGATTTCCCTCTGAGTAAGGAAATGACTGCGTGTCCTGTCTCTCAGGATAGAGGAATACAAAAGGAGCTCATGTGTCTCAGGGAAAAATAAACAGAAAGCTTCCTTTTGTACCATGTAGCAGGTGTACACTGTCCCCTCTGAGATCTCAGACAACCTAATATTACTACATTACTGTGGATGTCTACGGCGTGAGCACCTGCCATGAGTCAGGTGTACCCAGGCTAAGCCCAGGAAGGGAGGAAAGCAGATTCCCATCACTGGCCGACTTTCCCAACACAGGCAGCAGCTGGTGCAGAGAACCCTGTCACACAGGTCCCGGCCACACTCGGGCCCTGCAGAAGGGGCAGGGGCACTGCCTGCTGGAGCAGTCGTGGTGGATCTGAAACCTTTGAGTTCCTTGACAAGATAGGAGTGTCCTACAGGGTTCTAAAGAATTACCACACATTGGGTGAACTGAACAGCACAGGTCAAGGGACCAAGGTTACAGTCAGATGTCACCAGGGCTCATTCCTTCTGAAAGTTCACCATGTTCATGGGCTCAGAGCAAAAGAGGGGAGAGTATTGTTATTGAATAGTTATTGGCTGGTGGGCACCTTCCTTGTCTCCAGTGCTCAGGGAGCACCACTGACTGTCTTCAAGGAGTTCAGGGCACAGGAACCATTGTAAGAAGAGTGTCACAGACGAGTGACAGACAGGGATGTGAGTGCAGACAAGGAGTCCCAGGTTGGGGGCAAGTGGGACAGTTAGGCTTCCAGAGAGGCCACCTATAACCCAACCCAGGTGAGGGCAGCTGATCAAAAAATGGGGGAAGAAATGTTCAGGACACAGAAACCAGCCAGACACAGGGCTGGTCAGGTGTGCAGGTCAGGAGGGAGGAGCTGGAGGAAGGGAAAGAACCAGCCAGTTATGGAGAGCTTGGGGCTGGAGGGCAGGCGTATCAGGAGGATGCAGTGTGACCAGCAGAAGAGAGCTCACTAGGCAAGGGTGACAGCGTCGTGGGGCCCACTGAAGCTGGAAAATTAATCCATTCTGGGCATTTACTCTAGCTGTGCCCAGAGGATTCCTGCAGAGCAGGCCCAGAAAGGCTGGCAGATTGCTGCAGAGCTGGGTTGTGCCTGAGGCATGGCCATGGTTTAAGCTTTGGGCTTCCTGCCAGGCTGTCGATGTGGATACAGCTGAAACGGGCAGGTAACAAGGCAAGGAGCATGTTCTTCAGCTGTGCATTGGTCTAAGAGAACACCAGAGGTACTCAGCAAGGGAAAAGTTAAGCTGTGAGAGGCCCTAATACACTGGGTCTGGGCAGCACAGGACCTCAGGGAGGGTCCTGTGGAAAAGATCTGCTCGCTCATGGCAGTCAGGAAGCACAGAGAGACAGGAAGTGATGAGGGTCAGCACATCCCTTCAAAGGCACAGCACAGTGACTCACTTTCTTACCACCAGACTACACTACACGGTGGATAGTCCAGGATGTGACAGGATGTGCCTGTCATCTCTTTTTCAGACATTTACTGTGCAAAGTACAGATATTACACAAAAAGCACAAAACCAAATTAGTCCTGGGTTCCATCTGCTACGCTAGGATCCATCACACCCTCACTAAGGCTTCTTATGTAACACATAAACAGTAATTAAAATCAGCACAGTTTCATTTTGTGGGTTCCTTTGTTGTTGTTGTTTTTGTTTGTTGTTTGGTATTGAGTAATCTACAGTCATAGATTTTGACTTGTTTTTCATTTGAGGCACAGTCACACTAAAGTCTCTAGATTGTGCAGGCTGGCCTAGAAATTTCAATCCACCTCCTTCAGCCTCCAAGAGTGCTGAAATTTCCCACCTATCCAGCCAGGCCCGGCTCCTCACAGCTCTGTAAGGAGGCTTAATATCAGCATGTAGAGCTGAGTGTGGTGATCTGTGCCTTGGTTTGAGCCCAGCCTGAACAGTTTAGCAAATTAGCCAGATGCTATCTCAGGACAGATGAGAGGAAACTGTGTGACAATGTAGCTGAGTGCCATTATCCTGGGTCCAGTACTCGGCCCTGGAAAACAACAGTGTATGTAGAGCGGCCCACACGTCACAGAGCCTGGTGAGGACACACACAGCCTAATATGCTCACTGTGCTGCTCTCATGCCACACACTTCAGATGCCAGAGTGGGGACCACTGACCCCTCAAGTCAGGTTTTGGGGTCCCCAGCATTTCCCTTTGCCAACAAAGCAAAGGGCTGGATCCTGTGTAGGTGTCATTTCTGGTTCCAGAAACTTGTTTTCAGTGACACACACACAGTGCACACAGTCGAGGATCACTGAGGCACAGGCATTTCAGATAAGAGATCAGGGGAAGAGACACAGTGTGGATTTCACAGCGCTTCACTGTCCTACAGGAATCTCAAATTGACAACATTTCACGAGAGGCCTGATGCAGGCCTAGAATTGAATTCATATGATCTCAATGTTCTTCTGAGTATTTCTGCTGTAAAGAAGTGCATGAATTAGAGGACAACGTGCAGTGTACACACCATTGTTACCCAGGATGGACTTTTAAATTTTGTGGTACTTTTTTTCTTTCTTTTCTTTTTATCTATCACAAAATGAATTTGAAAAAATAAAAAGTAAAAAACAGAAATAGATGAGTTGCACCTAAATAACTTTTCTCTAATTAGTAGGATGATTAAAAACTTACTCTCCAAACAAAATATTTCAAAATGTCTCGTAATGTGAGGAAGCCTCATTCAGATGCTGCGTAGGAAACCTTTTAAGTGAACCACACCACTGCGAAGTAAACGTTTAAACACACACAAGAACGGTCCTCTTCCAGGCCACTATCAATTTAAAATGTGCCAGTCCCCTGAGATTCCCACCAATGCCGCACCCAGAATTAAGCTGTTGTTTTCTGGGCCCTACTTGCTCCAAACCAACACCCTTTCCCTTCAGGAACTGCATCCTAGTTCGTTTTCTTGGAGCATTTTAGAAAATCTCGTGTGATAATTTCAAGCCTATGCTTTGCTTATTTTGTCTCATTCAATACCTTCCATAATATCCTGCATAAGTGGGGAGGAGCTGAGCTGTGCATGGCTTCACTCTGTAAGACATGGTCACTACCTTCCCTACCTCCTATGCAGCCTGGTGATGCCTTCTTGTTTAGTGGCCGTGAGCTCCAGTACTTTGTTGTACTTTCTTGGAATGATGCGGTGTTCCCTGGCCTTCTTGTTCGGGTCTGCTCACGGGCACTGTTTCTCACAGAGCAGGGCTACAGCTGTCCTTCAGTGTCCCCAGTGTCCTGGGTGGAGGAGGGACGCTCTGGTTCTCTGAGCCCTGCTAGGTCTTCCTTGTTCGTTAATGTCAGACTTCTCTCCTTCTCCTCTTCAGCGTGGTCGTTCAGCTGTAAGGTACAGCTATCACGTCATCACGGTTATATACTTTCACGTCTTAAGCCCTGGGGTGGAAATTCACAAACTCTCACCAAGGGCCAGGGCAGGTCCAAGGCTGTGTCTCTCAATGCAGCTCTAGGGAAACACAGCCCAGCCCTTTGATTCACACTTTACAGTGCAAGAGCTTTCCTCTGCCACAGATGACAGGGCTGGCACAGCCCAGAATCCCGGACTGTGCAGCAGAGAGTGTAGAGCCACTCCACCTTGACACCAACCACAACACTACTGAGGGAACTACAGGGAAACGCCAGCTCTCCCTGTAGCACGTTTCCCATAGTGACATCCACTGACTGCCCTGTGTTACCTGGGACTTCACTGTCCTCAGGGCAGCCTTACATGGGCGATTTCCTTATGTTTGCATATTTCTGCTCGATGCTGATGTCTGAACTTGGCTATTTTTGCTTCATACAAACTCTGCAACACTGCTATCTCATTTTGATGGTTCTCAAGGTCTTCGTTTTGGGGCTCCTGAAGTACCTTAAGAGTTATTCAAAAACTTAACAGCATTTGTGATCCAGACATTTACCTGAGCTATTTATTTCAGAGCTGTCCTAATCTAGATTATTAAAATTACTCCTCTGATCCAATTGAATCGGAAAAGATTTACAGAGTCCACAGAGAAGCACAGTTCTGAAGGATCTCATTCCCTCTCTCTGATACCTAAAAAGAGGTGTTTCGGCTAGGCTTGGTATTGCACAAGATAATGACAGGACTCTGGAATGCTGATGGAGGAAAATCACAAATTCCACCACAGCCTGGGAACTTACTGAGACCCTACCTCAATTTAGAAAGGCTGGGGATATGGCTCAGTGTGCAGGTTCCGGGTTCAGTGCTCAGTACCAGATGCGGAAACATGTGTTTCTCTTTTTAATGAAGGAACCTCCACAAGGATCCTCGAAGCAAAAGAGGAGCCAAAGTATCTTTGCCTGGAGATGTCTAACCAAAGTGACTGAAACCAAAGTATATGCCTCTGCTTCCCACAAGATACCCACTGCACCACGGCCTTCAGCTAAAGCTTATCTCATTCTTGTAACTTCTGTTATCCATTTTTTAAAAAGTTTTTTAAAAGCTCTCCATAATCAGCACCTTGGACTTAGAAGAGTACTCCACTGGGAGTGTCAATACAACTGCCACTTTTCTCCTGAGCTCATGGCTCCTGTGGACTCAATATTCCCCGAAACACGAGGACCCACGAGTGGTGGCCTTGGGAACATCGGTCTCCTGCGCTACCCCTTTAACTGTAGCCTTTCTCCCTGGGCACCACCGCATGCTGGTCCTCTCAGTGCTCTGCACAAATCCAGGCTTGGGAACCAGAATCCCACCCTACTCTCCAAAGAGGAATTGGTGCTCAGAGCTAGCAAAGCCTGGGATTTCTGCCTTAAGATTACAGACTCTGTCAGTCATGGAAACTCTCCCACATGCACCTGGCTCTTCTGCCTGGGGTCTGCAGTTCGGCTTGACCCCACCTTGTCCCCAACTGGGTCTTACATCCAACTAGCACTTTGGGCACCGTTTTTGGTTTGCATCTTCCAATTCTTTGTTCAAGACAAGATGGATCTGAAATGCTTTTATATGGCCAACCCTGTTCAAAGGAACTGCCAGACAACAGTGTTAGGATCAA